GAGAGACAGCCTCTTAAGTTGTGTAAGCCCAGATATGTCATTTTATACGTACAAGACCCTCAGCAGGGTTAGCTTGTCCAACAATCCTGATGGAAAAGACCTTACACCGTTTGAAGGCAAATTCCTATGGAAAAGTCAAATGAATAAGTGAAGAGGAAGAATAAGGCTTTACGATAATAAATATTTTTCTATAGGACATGGAAACTAACAGCAGATCATTCAGTGAAATTAGGTAGGTACTCACATTATTTCACAGGAAATGAATCTCTCAAAATTAAATCAATGTTTTGGAGTCAACCTCGTACAAATACAGCATAAAAAGATGATTTCGAAGAAATTAGATTTTTCTAAAACTCTTTTTTACATTTTTCTTTTTTAGTGATGCCTAACTTCTGACTGAATGTTTTTATACATTTAGCAGTCGAGGCAGTCACAAACAAAGAAAAATCACAAAAAGCAAATGTGGGAAAAGGAGAATTCCCGATTGCAAAAAATGATAAGCGGGTCCAAGTGGGTCAATATTGAACGACATCAATGTTACAGGCTGTCAATATTCGTTGGGAGACAATCCCTCAGATGCAGGTCCGTCACATTGACGCATGAAAGAACGTTTCGTCTGTATGGCCATGTTGTTGAAAGGGAACAGGTGGGTCTACAATCTATAAAAAATACAAAAAGGAACAACGAAACAAAAACCAAAGCGAGATATTAAGAATATTACACGTTGTTTAATAAAGTAGTTGGTTTGTAGAAGTATGGTTTTCTTTCTATCGGTTAAATTATACCGTAATGTAGAGAAATGAAGGGCTGCGTGTATTTGCTGTGTATTGACTTAGACAGCCCAGTCAAACCAGACACTGGGTTGGTGATGGGCACAAGGATAGTGATGCCAGAGTGACCAACACCAGCAATGATAATATCCACATTTCCTAATTGTTGTGTTGTCCCACAAAAGTTTAGTCTTGTCGTCGTTCAGTCAACGGATGATCTCAAAAAACTTGCTCCTCTATGTCAAGTTTACTTTGCAGTTTGTTTGCTGCATTTACGTGTTTAAGAGTATCAGCTGTTCCTTAACGGCTTACCTAAGACAGAGAAAGTTCGGAAGTCTGAGCCATAATTGCTGGTAGCTACACAAGAGAAGTTTCCTTCCTTAAGGAACTTGAAAGTTGCAGTGTTTGATGTGTTCACCAATACCGTAGATTCGTTCAGTACCGCTGTATACACAGGAAGACTTCCCGTCACAGAACATTTCACTTCGTCTCCTTGAAAGGCTCGCAAAACAACTGGCATTAATAAATTTGGAGGACCTAGAATAGACGTTAATTCAGTAACACGACAAGCGCCAATACAGCTTGTTGTTGAACATTACAATCAATCATATGCACAAAAGAAGCGACAGTTACTTCACCCGCAAAGTTAACTAGATTACACAGCAGGTCAGGTTGTTGCAGTATCAGCAATCAGTTGTTCTTCTTTGAACGAACACAAATTTTTAGCGGAATAATTAATTGGTAAAAGCTTTCAACTACTGAGAATTAACAAAGATAAAAATCAAAATCTGAAGATTTATTAAAAAAAAAATTACGATCATAGGCCTCTGGAAGCTAGAGCTATTACGATCATAGGCCTCAAGAAGCTAGAGTCGCTCTCGGCTATCGCCTCGAGCGACTCTTACGCTTCTTTCGTGCTTAGCAACCTCCCGCGTTCATCCATAACTCAATAGTGTACGGTGTGGTGTTAACCATTTGTTAATTGTTCATATATAGGCGTTCTCTTGTTAATATATTAATTCTTTTGAAATCTAAAGACAAGAAGTTTAAGCCGATGCCGAACAGCATTGAATTATTTTTCAAAGAAATACTTTTTTGTTTCGTAAATGTATTCTACCGTATATACACACTGAGTAGGAGTGGAATTACGAAGAATAAGTATTATTTATACACACTTGGTAAAACGGCTGTAAAAAACATGGAGAATCCTGTTTGTGAAGAAAATGAGTCCGAATGAAATCTTATGACAACATGTTTTCCGGTTACTTCAACTGTCGTCCCAGACTTCTTTCCACAGTATTTACCAAATGTGAAGTTATAATGATTAGAAATTTCTACGAAGTCAAATCTGCAAAATAGAGATATTTGGAATTTGATCAGTAAACTCAGTTTCTGAAGGACATACAAGATACAGGCAACAAAAAGACAGACAAGAGAATTATTGAATAAAACGCTAATCTACTAAGGGAAGAGGCCTATGATCAAGTATGCCAGGTTACCAGACGGGCTGAGAATTCACTACCTGCATAAGTCCGAGTTCTCCAGCTCAAAATGGTCGAAGTAAATTTTCATAGCCATGCCGTGAGGAATGATAGCCCGATATACGCAATCCATATTCTTTGGGTAGTTATCTGGATATCCAGGACTCTGCAGTGAGTTATTAGTTAAGGAGCCACAACCTATGTGAACAACAGATGATGCTTTTGAAATGTTTTCTATGTGTCTTATAACGCCTTAAAAAGATACCAGAAAGAGGTAGACGGGAATCTAAACATTGCCCATCAGCAAATGGTGCTCTGTTTTGTGCTGTGCCATTTTGATTTTGATGCTGCATAATCACGTTGTAAACTGAGTGTATTTAGCTTGTATCAACTTTTGATTTTATATTTTGTAAATTTCATTTCATAATAACATTGTTTTTTAAACTTGCTGACATTTTTTTAAGCATCCTTAAGAGCAAATTTAAAAGGCAAACCACAAAAAACTAACGGCAAACAATAAAAGCACAGAAAGCAAAAGTAATAGAGTCAGAACAAAGAAAAACTAAGCAATACCAAAACTGATGAAAATTCTCATTGTGCTTGACGTATTGTTATGGCAGTAAGCAAATTAACTGCGTTTTTAACCGCAAGTTTTTCGTAGAGGACCGGCCTTCATGGCGTAGGATGTGGTGGGGGAAAACATATATGAAATTCATCCAAGCTGTAATACCCGGAAAAAAGGTCTAGCAAACAGAAACTGAAGAAAACGATAATTGCAGAAGATGATTTGACCTCTGAATTAGAACAGGGAATCAAACAAGCAAACTTTCCCTGTAGACCTAAGATAAAATGTGATTTGCAGCCTAAGTACACAGACCTTCGACATTCCTCGAAACGACCTTTATTTTTTTAAATGTATTATACAACGAGAATCGTTATATAACTCAGGGCCCAGTTGTTCGAACGCTGATTAGTGCTAACCCAGGGTTAAATTTCATTCGGGGTTTCTCTATCCTTTTGTTCAAAGGCCTTTCTGTGATCACTCTCTCTATTCTTTGAAGGGCATCCAGTCATTAAATCGTAGACGAAACGAATTGTCCTGAATTTTGTTTTAAAGCTTTCAGATCTAAAATGAGATTTCACACTAACCCTGGGTTATCTCAACCCAGCTTTGAACAACCCGGCCCAGGTCAACAATCATTTACATGATTCCTATTTAATAAAGAAGTAATGTTACGGGAAAATTTAGTGGTTTTTCCGTGTGGTTGTTCAGGCATATTTATTCGTTGTTTTCGTTATTCTAGCCGTTCTCAATTTATACGAGTTTTTTTCATTGCGATGTTTTAAAAAAATAAAAAGCCACATTAGTTTTTGAAAATAGATCTTGCATTGTTACTTTGCCTTCATTGTGCGTTTTCCTATCGGTACTTTTCTTGTTTAATTCTAGTGAAATTGTAGGTAAATAAAAGTGTTAATGACATTTCTGGCAAAATCAGTTCTCATGGTAGTTGGCAGCTAAGTTTATACTCGTGACTTCAATTTCTTTTCTTGCGATCAAACTTAACCCCAACCTTGCTTAGATAAGCAGAAACTTCTAATTAATTTTTTTCATTTTATTCTATAAGCTGCTCTTTTGTAATAACGAGGCATATTTCCAATATCAAAGCTGTGAATTTTCACCTAAGTTTCCTATTTTTAATGGCCTAAATTTTATTGAATCTGCTCTTCCAATTTCAACATATGAATATTTAGATACAAATCATTTAACTTCAAAGAGACCCCTTCCGTTCTTTTTTTTTAAACTTACTTAAACATTGTCAATTTAAAGAAAAATAGAACCTCACAATAGTTCATATTTAAGTAGGTACTTTGTTTAGGTTTTCCGATTACTAAACTGAAGAAGCTAGAGGTCATGTCAGTTGTTGGCCTGGCTAAAATAAAGTTTACTGTGGAACCAAAAGATTGTCTCGTCCTTGACGTCCGTAAAAGCGGGCTTGAAGTGGTCGCCTGTACCAGGGAATCGTGACGAGTTCTCGTTCTCGCTGCCGAGTCGCTCTACAAAGCTAGTTCCTCCCGTTATTGTTGTGCCGTCGATAAAGTCTAGTTCGCACGCCAAAAACTATCGTCACAGTAAACTGTGACATATATGAACAGTTTAAGATGGCCTGACATGGAATAAGATTCGAATACGACTTTTTCCCACGGAACATAGCTGTGGCTTTGGCAAACACCTTTACTAAATCGTGTGCTTGTATAGCACAAATGACTATTTTCGGTTTCTCAAGGCAGCCTATTACCTGAAGCAAAGTAAAATGAAGAATTCTAGTTTTCACTTTGAGACCTACCTGAAAATATCACAGAGAACATTTTGAAGACAGTCCCATACTTGTTAGTGACCACACAGCTGTAGTTTCCTTCCTCCTGGATCAGACCAGCTGCCGTGTTTGTTGTGTTCACCAACACTGTCGAGTCCTTCAGTATCGCTGTGTAAAGAGGAGGGCTTCCTGTCACTAAACACGTCACCTCATTGTCCGGAATGGTTTGTACAACATCTGGCATCGATATGTTGGGAGGACCTCCAATAAAAACAAGTTAATGTCATAAAAAGTACCAGAGCACCTTAGTGCCAAGCATTTTAAAACCAGAGTCCTAACAGAGTGTTAATTTGTAGAGTTGACTACGGAGAAAGAGTAGTAAGCGGCGAACAAAGAGCAGTAGGATTCTAGAACACAACTACCATGTTTATTTCCACCTGGTGGTCTCTCGTTACCTATGATAACTTATGCTACTTATGACAACCAGATGAGATAGCCAATCAACACAGAGGGGGATACGAGAGGGTGTGAAAAGCCGAGGGCTGGATAATTCCCTCATTCTTATGGATATCTATTATTATTACAGTTTAAGGTTAATGAGGTTTTTTTGTGTCTTTCCACCTGTATTGCACTTGTATTAAGTTTACAAGTTTACAAATTTATTAGGTCTTCCAAAACAATTACTTACAATAAACACCGCCTGCAAATAGCGAGCTAATCTAGGCGGGCGATGTTAAGGACAAACAAACACGAATTACTAATTGAAGGCGTTAAAAAAAAGTCGATTTTCAATACATTATTTGTCAAAAGAGGGAAAAAAAGTGATAAAAAGTGTGGAAAAATTTTATAATTTATGATTGAATTGTAATTAAGATGCCTTTTTTATTTCAGAAATAGTGTCAGCACAACTATCCAGAGTTTCTAGAGTTTTAATTATTAATGCTTGAATTTTCTTTTTGAACATGTGCTTTGGTAGTTTCCGATAGCTCTCGGGAATGCTGTTCCAAATTTTAGCACCAACAATGAAAAAAGAGTTTTTATGATGATTGAGCCTAGAATGATTAATATAGTAGTTACCAGAAGATGATGAGCGAGTATTATACTGATGTATGTCTTGTGTAGAAGCAAATAGATTACAGATATTTTGAGGTACAGCGTTAGCGGTTATATCAAACAGTAAGACTGATGAAAGTTTGAAGTAGAGCATTGAGATTGGCAGAATGTTAGATTGGGCGAAATATGGAATCGCATGCGTTCTGAAAGTCAGAAAATTGATGAGGCGAACGGCTCTCTTTTGGAGTATAAGAATTTTTTCTAAATGAGATTTGGAAGCTTGGCCCCAGGTAATGAGGCTGTAAGATATATAGGGAGAAATTAATGAATTGTAGATACTTAGAAGTGTTTTTAAAGGGACAAAGTGTCTTAGTCTCGAAATAATTCCAATATTTCTGCTGATTTTTAGAGATATATATTTAATGTGGTGTTTCCAGGATAAATGTTGGTCAATTATTACCCCTAAGTATTTAACATTATCTTTACATTCAAGATCAAAGAACGTTTTAGTGCGCCATCATAGGCCTTTATGCAAATGTTAAAATGAATGCGTTTTTGATATGGATGAACAATTATATAGTTTGTTTTCTTAATATTTAAGGAGAGTTTATTTGTGATTAACTAGACGACAACTTTAATTAGTTCACAGTTGACGATAGTTTCGAGGGAATTTAGGTTTTTATCAGCGTATAAAAGGTTAGTGTCATCAGCAAAAAGGTAAAAGGTTAACTTGTCTGAGGCCATGTAGATATCATTTACATAAATAAGAAATAGCAGGGAGCCAAGTACACTCCTTTGAGGAACGCCACAAAGGGTACTTTCCTTTCAAGATACGTGGGGACCTACTTGATTCTATTTGACAGATAGGAGGAGAACCAGTCGTTAACTATACCACAGATGCCGTAATGGGATAATTTATGAAGGAGGATAGAGTGATTCACAGTATCAAATGCTTTTCGAAGGTCAATAAATACACCACAGAAGAACATTCCCTTGTCCATGTTTGATTGAATTTTTGTTCACAATATCCAGGATTGCATGCTCGGTTGAGCGCTGTTTTCGGAAACCGTACTGAGACTCGTAAAATAAGCAATGTTCGCTAGAAAAGGACTTAAGGCGGTTGAACATAATTTTCTCAAAGAGTCTATTAAAGACCGAAAGAAGTGATATAGGACGATAGTTTCCAGGTTCAGCTTCGTCCCCATCCTTAAATATTGGAATAATCTTGGCATGCTTAAGTTTGGAGGGAAAGATACCCCTTTGAACCGAGTTGTTTATTAGAGTTGCCAGAGGGGTTGATATAATATGACGTAAGCATTTAAGTAGTCGAGTTGGGCACGAGTAGAGTCCATGGGACTTGTTTGTTGGCGTGAGCATTATTTGAAGCTCGATTTCAGAAGGAAGAACAAAGTCAAACACAAAAGAGCAGGAAGGAACATTTAGTGGGAGGTAGTCACGAATTCCTTTTGTAATCCAAGGTTTTGAAAAAGATTTCATCTTCCGCCCAGAGATTGGTTTTAATGGAGCATTTTTATTTATCAACTTATTTAATTTATTGTAAAAAGAAGAGATAGCCTCATCAACATTAGTTTCATTACGGAAAACTACGTCAACCCAATCAATACGCGACAAGTCAGGTATAAAATGTTCTTCAGAAAATTTAGAAAAATTGCGCGCAAGAGGTCTGTCGGCTATTCTCTTGATTACAAGTGAGTTTGATATACAACATTGCGAGAAATGGTCACTAATATCAGAGATTATGTTGCCAGTTATGATATTCTCATTAACTTTGTTTGTAAATATATTGTCGATTAATGGGAAAGAATTTCTATGTACGCGAGTCGGTTTGTCTATGCAGGGAGCTAAGTTAAGGCTCTGGAGAGTTAGAAGAAAATCTTGTGCATAATTGCAGGAATTAAAGTGGAGAAGAATAATATTAGCGTCAGTCATTACATAGACAGGCTTGCCGGTAGCAATAAGGTTTTCTCTGTTTTCCTCAAAATACTTGAGCAGCGACATCTATTTTATAAAACCGCTTTGGATAAGTGATTGTACATACGTGGTAAAACGGCAGTGAACAACAACGAGAATCCTCTTTTCTGAACAATTGAGTCTGAATGAAATCTTATCACAGCGTAGTCTCCAGTAATTTCAATTGTTGTTCCAGTCTTCTCTCCGCAGAATGTGCCAAATGAGAAGTTGTCCTGATTGGTAATTTCTACATAGTCAAACCTACAAAACAGAGATATGCAAGTTATTCCAGCTGATGAGTATTTTCTACATATTTCCTATAAAACTTAAGACAAAAAATTGCCGCATGCTAACACAAATCAAAAAAGATAAAGAGCCAGAATTTAGCTTTTCTTAAAAGAGTGACACATGACTGAGTGACGTACTCTTTATCAAAGCGAAAACCAATTATGTCAGTTTAGCTGATAACTTCAAGCACTACATACCAGCAAAAGGCGTATTGCAGCTGGAAATAGTCGAAATAAATTCTCATAGCCATGCCGCTAGGAATGGGAACGTGATAAACACAATCCATATTACTTGGGTAGAATTTATCTGGATATCCAGGACTCTTTAATGAGTTATTTCCCAAGGAGCCACAACCTACAAGAACAACAGATAATCCTTTGGACATTTTTTAAAGGCTTCTTAAGATGCTTCAATTACATGGATATAAAAAGACGCAGGTGGAGTTGTCAATGACTCTTGTCTTGCTATGTATTGAGTCCAGTAGGTTTGCACGTTACCAAATTAATTTCAGCCATGTTTCCTGCTTGTAGGCCATAATTTCTCTTCTTTCTTTACACGAATTAGGAGGTAACAGTTGATCGATGAGCAACCATGCCTGATTGCATAACCGAACAACAACCGACCTGTGCATGCACTTTCGCAAGAAAACAGAACGAAGCGAGTTGCTCATGAGTTTACCTAAGTACTACTGGTCATACAAAGTTTTATTCCGGGGACCATGCTATGGGTATTACAATGAATGTTAAGATATTTTTTTGTCCCTAGCATAAACGAGCGTAAAATGGAAAACGTTTTGGTAAGTGTCAGTTACGGGGGAAGTCTGTGAAATTATAACAAGCTGAGTTAGGTCGCTTCTGTGTACATGTAGGTCTCGAGGGTTGGGCACGAGCTTCAGAATCGTCCTGGACATGTCCTTAATGCCCGAGAATGAATACTAACGTGACAACTATGCAAATTTTGTGGGCTTGATCAATTGCCGCCTTTGAGTATGGAGGCTTTCCTTGCGTTAATCAGACAGTAGACCTCTCCTGATATTTTCTCACAAAAAAAGTACCTACTCAAAAACGTTTTTATCCACATTAGTAAAATTAGTTCACGATGTTGGTAGAAAGAAAGATTAGTTTGAAAACTAAACTGACCTTGCGTAGCTGAGGCACAGTGATGATTCGTCGTAAGCACCCAAATAAAGAGAAGCGATGAGGCGGTTAGCAAAGGTATATTTTCCATTGCAAGCGAAATTACTGTGGGAAGAAAAAAATGCATTTAAGTGGAGGACAATAATAAGATTTAATTTGATTATTCAATAGAGTGTGCTTGTTGTTTCGTTTCTTCAGCTGATGCGAAGACATTAAGCTTGAAGGAGAAAAAGAAAGAAAGCTCAATGGAAAAAGAGAAAGAGATAAAAACAAAAACAAAGAAATAAATAAAAGGAGTAAAAAACGAATTGAACGACAAAACAAGTTTGCGAAAGAATAAAGCATTTTATTGATTCATGAATGAATGAAAGAATGAAAGGATGGAGTAAGCGGGTAGTATCAATGAATAAATTAGTGTATGGATGTATACTGGACACATTAATGGATGGAAAAAATGAATGAGAGGGAGCAGAGATGCATCCGATAGTTGAATGGAAGGATGGATGGATGCTACAATGAATGGATAATTGGACGCAAGGATGTGTAAATGAATGAAATGCAGGATAGAGAAAAATTAAAGTTGTGTTGATTAACACCATCAGATACTGAGATTAAATCCCTTGTTTGCTCTTTTTTTAATGGCAGGTTTCATTCTCAGAACCTATTTTTCAGCCATGTGAAAATTGATTTTTGAAGTCGAGACAAAACTGCAACCTCCGCATGGACTGATTGCAGTAACAATTTAAGTGAAATATGGCAATCGCCTCGAGCTTAAAGAGAATTTGTCACTTTGTTTGAAAAAAGTCCTTAACATTATTTACAGTGGTTTTTATTTAATCTCTTATGCAAATCTGTGCAGAGCATCGAGGGGGAGGGGGGTGGGGTGGGGGGAATTTAAGACCTACAGGCCAAAAAATTACATTTTTACTATTTTTGTCTCTAAATTTCGATTTTTCTGTTCAATACTTGAGAGAGCAGACAATGATTTGAAGATTGATTTTGAAATGTATAATGTTGTAAAAAATGCGTTATTGCGTTCAATAACAGTCGTCACTCTTGTTAGCTGAAACTCTCACTCGTTCTAAATTTTAGTAAAATAAACAAAATGATGGAAAAGAGTTTCTAACACCTTAACAGTTGAAATCCTGCCTTCAACAGACAGAAAATTTGAGCGAACTCAAACTTGGGATTAAGGGCAAGAAACAAAATGTTATTCCTCACGTTCCCTAAGAAGACAACTATGATTGCTAGAAATAAGGACCGGTCTGGGATTTTATATAAATTTTTACGGTCTTAGATTTAGAGAATCGGCTGAACTGCTTTGCGGAAAAAAGAAAAAAAACCACGAACGCGTCAAGTTTTGCATAACGGCTTCGATAGTGAAACTTTGGTTCGTCGCCAAAAATAATTTTTTGATTAAGTATCAAATAGTTCACATACGATACAATATGACATTTATAGTTCATGAAAGATAAATTCCTCCTATTGTGAAGTGCGTTGTAAACTCAAAATAATTTGTTTTTCGCTTGTCGTAGACAAGAACTTCAATAACTAAGTTATGCTTGCATCAAATGGGCTACGTTGCGATTGGAATAAGAAAATAAAACGTTTTGAAAAGAAGTCTTCTGTATTTCTTTACGCTTTTAACTTTACGGATACGCTTGCCCGTTGTAGGGATCTTCTAAACCGCTCGTGGCCTCTTTGTTTGCGATATTTCCCGAATCATTAGCTGCGATGAGCTGCAAATTCGCTTCTGTTTTTTTGCATCGTTTCCTTTTTTCCAGTTTTTAAGATAAGAACCGTCGATTTCAGTAAACGTTGCTCCAAGTTTTCGTTCGTCGATCGGTTATCGAAATACATACCCCAACGGCGACTTGTTTAACCACTTCGCTGATGTAGCCAGCTTTATCTTGTAAGCGTCTGGGAAACAATTTTTGATGGCATCGATTTCCTGGGGTCACTTTCTTACAAAAGGTTTCTATTTCTGTGTATTGAACTTAGCGTTTTTTTTAAAAGATTATTACGAATAATGCTGCCCTCCTCCTCAGATAGCTGCGCTTTTGGTGTTCTATCGAATTTTCGATGACGTGAGTGAAAGTTCGCCTTATTTTAATTTTGATTATTTCCACAAGCAGAAAATTACCTTCAAATCATGTTTTCTTTGAGAGAAAAGCCCCGAGATTTATGGAAGCTCACTCGAAACAATCGGAGCAAAAATTTTCCACATATGGAATTCCAATTACCCGGCAATATACACAATAGTAGGCGACCAAAACACTTTGTGATTGTCGGCTTCTACCGCCACACATTCTGCTTCGTGTCAACAACAGTGGGAACAATGACCACAAAAAATGTCAAACCGAAATTAAAAATAGTGCGTAAACTCACAGCTTGACCTTGTCCCTTTAAAAAGACACAAATTGGTTTTTGCACAGATTGATTGTTTTCAGCCACTGTTAATTTGAGACAAAATCTTAATTCATATCTTGTTTTGTTACTTATGCCAAAACTTTTCCCAAAACAATGAAGGTCGGTTTTAATATCGCAAAACTGTTCCTTCCAATATTGTACAATTACAAGTATATCTAGCCATCATCACCCTCACGCAGTGTTTAATAAACGGTTCCGTTTTCGTCTGCCCACAGGTACACGCAAAAACAGCATTTTAAAACAGATCCACTTTGGAAGGGGTTTCTGAAAAGTTCCATTTTCGATGATCTTTTTCATCGGATAAGTGTGGACGGAAGCCGTATCTGCAACGAAAAAATTGTGTTTTCAAATAAAAATGGATACTTGTGAATGGGGCCTAAGGCCATATTGATAACTCTTTTTACCACCACTCAGGAAAAACAATTTGGAACTCTTTGCTATCGTAGCTGCCACAATATTGTGACAGTAAAAGGCAGCAGGGCTTTTGGAAACTTCCTCCATTCTAGAGGTGTGCTGAGAAAGAGAAGTTTTGTTTGGTTTACAAGAACAATTTTGAGCCAATTGAACTAGCTAGGTAGCACTTCTTGCGGCTGCCGCAGGTTCTAATTTCAGGAGCATTTTTGCACGCGACTTGAAAAATAAATATTAAACGGATTAAATTGACTAAGAAATTATTAAACAGTTCAAATTATATTCAATTGTCATATTGTGTCGTGAAAAAGTATCATTTTCTTTCGTACTAAATATATCTACGTCGTTTACACTAAAGAATAAATAAACGAATCCCCCAGAAGAGAGCTCTGGAAAGTCTCCAGTTGAGTAGTTTTATTTGTGACATGATAGACTCGATGCTGAAATCAGCATGTGATTGCGGTTGGGAATTTTAAAACTTTCAAACATTTTGCTAGTTAAAATATTTTGAAAAGTTAACTCCTTGTCTGTGACCTCAGAAGAGTTGGATTCTAATTCAAAGAATGAGAAGAACATTTCGAACAACAAGTATCTTTTTCGAAATGGCCTATATTTCCCATTGTTAAGCAACTTGAGAGCAAAATGTCATATGGTCACTTTCCTTTGGGGGTTTCCAATAACAGCAAATGCTGAATACAATCAAAGAACTGACAGCAAAAGCATACCATGTGTCTTCTTCGCTAAGATAATTATTTTCAGTTCTGTCTTATGTAGAGAAAGATGATTTTCGTCTAGTCACGAGCTAGTTTTCATTTCACGTTTCCCACGCGCTTGCGTTGCCTCACTGATGTATAAAACAAAGCTAATTATAACATAACCAAAGTAAAGCGCGCGCTCTGATTGGTCAATTTAGCGTTCCCCATTTGCCCATGGGTGTACGCTGCTGACGTGAGCAAATGCAAAGACTATTTTTCCGCCCGCGCTTGTTTTTTCTGGTCGCGTAAGATTTGTTAATAAACGGGAACTCTTTAGCTACAATGTATCAATGTTATGTTATAAAACAAATGGTAAACACCACAGCGTACACTATTGAGTTATGGATGCACTTGGGAGGTTTGCTAAGCACTCAAGAAGCTAGAGTCGCTCTCGGCTATCGCCTCGAGCGACTCTTACGCTTCTTTCGTGCTTAGCAACCTCCCGCGTGCATCCATAACTCAATAGTGTACGCTGTGGTGTTTACCATTTGTTAATTACCAGGTGCGAATTCACTTCGTCCTGCCAAGCCTCGACGTATATGAGCAGTAGCAAATTGTGAAGAAAGACACTATGATATTGCTAGTCATTTCTTTGAAAACAGGCTGTGATAAAGGGAGCAATTGTCAATACAAATGCTTTATTTATTTTCCATCTTTGTGGAGTTACCTTTTTGCTTTCACGACGTACTTCACATTACTCTACACTCAGAATAACGAGCTGAAACCTCAGTGTCTTGGACAGTCGATTCAGGTATTTTGAAGGTTTACTGTGACACTCATAAATTTCCTTTTCTACAGAAAGGTCCTGCCCAGAAAAATTCTAGTCCGTGCTCATGAATTACATGAAACAATTATGATAAAACCCAGTAGGTCTGTTTTGGTTTTTCCAACTCTCATTATCACTCCAAAATAAATTAGAACAACAGACAGTTTCTTAATGTGTCACAGCCAAGGTCCTCTTCAATCGGAGTTCCTTTCTAATATAAGTTGTGCATTTCTTCTTAGTTCCCGGATAGTTTTCTTCAGTTTTCTTCTCTGGGATTTTTAAGATAGTGTGCCATAAAGCATGGTCTATTAAATGGCATCAGGTGCAATGTTACGTGCCACTGATACATGTAAATTATGGCAAAACGCGGCGGGTATGTTTTGGAAATAGGCAGTATCTCCGGCTTTTAGTTGCACAATCACAGAATGGAAATCGCTCCCAAATAAACTAGGTCCACTAATAGTGTCATTAAATTTCATAGCCAAACTCATCTTCAACAGAGAATTCATTTTCAGCAAAGGTTGCGTATTCTTCCCGAGTTTCTGGATAGTTTGCCCATGTTCACTTCATCGAATCTACGTATCTAAGACGCTTTCTTAAGTTTTCTCTCGGGGACTTTAGGGTAGTAAGAGTTTCCCGTCTGATTTTCAACTAAGCTGACACGGTTTGCCATATAGGACGGTCCAGGTAATGACATCAGATGCAATTTTACAGGTCGCCGATACGGGAAAATCTCAATTTTTTCCCGGTTGTTTTACTGTTTACTGTTCAGACAGCTTTACTGTTTGAGTTGTGCGGCCCTAAATGTTTGCCACAATGAGATAAACCGAACATGATGTCAGTCTCGAATGTGAAAGCTTAGTTTAATGTTCAACCATGGATTATTGTTAGCTTTTGAAAAACCAGCCCCTTAATTTTATTCCCAATAGAAATAAATAGGAGAGTGGAAAAGTTTAGTCGTGCGGGAAGCTCAGCAGCTAGTACTCATTACGGGGCCATGTGCTGAAAAGGCTCAAGTGGCGTCTTTGGAACATGGCAGCACGTCTTTTTGCAGTTACTTCACTCTATAAAAAGGGGTAAAGATGATTTGTCAAATGTGACCATGGTTGTTAAAGTGGCTCAGTTTTCATGCTCAATGAATGCTAAGCAACGTGTATTTATCTGCTCCCTAACTCTATATTTGAATACGAAGAAGGCAAAATACTTAACGAAAATTTTTTATGCTCGATAGATACGAAACTTCTGTTGGGCTAATTACCATCTTCGTGACTGTAGTAAGGTGCGCTGCAGAGGGCTATTAATTATTACAGTACTGCAGTAGCATTGTTTAGTGGGGCTTACATATATCAGTTACTATATAGCAATATTCATAAAACTCCAGACATTAAAATGGACTAAATTCTGTGATGCAGGTATCGCATTTTATGAAAAGCAATTGTACACTGTATTGTAAATATATTTCAGCATTTACTATAATGAAGTCGATTTGGAATCTTTGCTTGATACGTGAACATGATACTATTGGTCTACAAGATAACCATCACTACTTTTAAGATTATCTGAATATGCATTAAGATTTACGTGACGACAAACCGTCAGCTAATTGCTTCACAGTTAATAGAATTATTCTTCATTCTTCTTCCTTTCTATCGTCTTTATTCCTCAAGTCTTCCCATGGGTTCGCTATTGCAATATTCTCTGCCTTATTAGTCACGCATGTCTTCTGCTTTTTTGGTACGTTGCATTCTGTTTCATTTGGTAAGCTTCTGATGTTCGAGAGGCTTACGCCTGGAAAAATGAAAGGTTGAAAGTTACGAGTCATACGATGTTCGTGATAACTTGGGGTCTAAATTTTAAACTCTGATTTCATATCATAGTATTTCAATCTGCTCCGGAGGGGGGACGAAACGATTTTGTATGTTAACATCCTTGAAGGCAATATAAACTAACAAATTCTGGAAATTAAGAAAAAAAAAGGGATGTACCTTGATATATACATAATGGTTCTGTTGAAATAGTTGCAATATTTGAGGTAGATAACACCGGAAGAAATGCCAAGCTTCAAAGACAAGCTGGCGAACAAACATTGTTGTAACGCTGAGAAACATGCAAACTCAGGCAAGATTATTGTTCAACTGGAATTTATGATGCACTTTTAAGTGATTAATGCGGCGTTTCTGAAAGGCTAAACAGTGTTTAACTCAGCGCCATAGAAAACTACCATCAAAAAATATCTTGCAGTCTATCGCCTAACTCAGCTTCGCTAAAATTAAATGGGTTTGGTAGTTCTTCGAATGTTGGGTACATTTTTCTGGAAAAGGTGTTTTTTTCTCGTACGGGTTTCTCCTTGTTTTCTTAGAGAGTTTTAAGATGGTTTTGTACTTACTTATCTATTGCAAGGTTGTCTCTTATTGATCCATGCACTGCCGTCTAAGCGAAAGATGAGACCACCGTTTGCGTGCATTGATGGCTGCGGTTATGGTTGTCTTTGATATTTTCTTTCTCTCCCTTGTGAAATTTCACATTCATCTTATTTTTATTTTCGACATCATCCTCACAAAGGCTAAAGGTCAAAGCTTCACTGTCTTGTGCAGAGTCAGCAATGGACGGTTTCTCTAAGATCCCCGTGTCAAGCTGGGTTTTCATCAAGTTATTACCGGCCATTTCTTGGATTTCTCCTTGCAGGTCATTTAATGGAATGAGTAAAGCCAGACAGCAAGAAAATGACCAATGTGGGTTCTTACGCCACCTCTTGAAGAACTCGTAGAAAAACATCAAGTATTGAACTAAGGTATAGGAAAAATGAAAAATTTAGTTAAAAGTATTTTTGCAATTGATATGGTGACCTTAAGCTGAGAAGAAATTTCACTGTGATTATTGGTCTTTTCCACTTTTTTTTGTTTCATGGCTTTATCTTCTTGGATAAATAAAGTGCTTCTCTCCCATCTAAATCCTAAACATTAGTAATATTTATCACATAAGTGGCGACCTAAATGCTTCTCTTTCTGAACTTGACATGCCATCTGGCATCGATAACGTGTTTAAAAAAGCAGCTTTTCCCTCCAACGTGAGGCCAACAAGGCTTATTTGCTAGCACATTGAAGAATAAGGATAATGCTCGCCATTATGAAAGAAGGCTATCGCTTAATGAAAGTTCGAATAGCATCAATTCAAATTTTTTTACCATGTTCTTCAGAGCAAGGAATGAAAGTACTAAAATAGCCCCTCTCAGGATGCTTTGGTCTCAAAAAATTGTTTAACTGACATTTCTCTTACCAACAATTTGTGCAATCACCATTGTATTTGCACAAAGTACTAACATCGTCATCACTATTTCGTCTTTATGTTTTTCTGTTAGGGTTGATGTATTCTCTGCTGGGATTCTGCTTACCGCACCAATTCCCAAATTTACAACAGTGACAGCAAGGGAAGTCGACATGAGTCTGTTTTCTGAAGCGAGTTGTATGGGTTTTATCCAGGAGAAGAGCACTCCATACATACCAGCAACCACCCATGCTAAACCAATATAAGACCTGCTCTCTTCTCCCACAAGTATAAGAGCAGACGTAAGAACAACTTTACGAGACATTTCGACTAGTTCCCAGTACCACGAGGTGGGCTTATAATTTTGAAAAAGGAATCTCAACCCTTCAATCACTTCCGTGCCAGAATCCTTACTACTGTCTGTGTTGGATGATATCACTCTTCTTTGCCTCCAAAGTACTATCAGCGAGGCGACAGGCAAGGCAAAGATGTAGGCGGTCGAAAAGTACGCCAAGATCAGCCAATGGTTAAATGAGGATCCTTGGCATTGTATGCTGTAATCTGCCTTAGCGTATACTTTACACGTCTCCTCCCTGCCATCCCTGCAGAGTTTTCGGCAAGCAAGTGGAAGAACGCTGGCTGTTTTGGAAACTGTACTCAGATATGTCGCATACAAAAAGAAAAACAGATTTTTGTAAACCAGCTGTTTTGTTTGGGAGATTTTTTCCGACTTTTCCTCGTCTTTAAGACTATGTTTTTTCGTGACGATTGTCTTATAGATAACGTAACTCGTTCCTAAGGCAATAGTGACAGTCAAATTCAATGCTAGTAACACGAACAATTCTCCAAAGACATTTACTTGTAACCCCGAGAATAGACAGTGGACGGGTGCGATCTGAAGCAGATTCAACTGGAGTATTCCAGAGTGTGTGGCGACCACTTGCAATGAATCCGGCCAATCAATGAACGAAAAAACTTCTAGTAAGCCGTGAGTAACCTGATAGAAACCAATAAGTATTTTGAGCCTAGAAAAGAACATGTTTATGAGATGGTGACCATGATCCTTTTCCAATTTGGTTGTTCTCTTCCACATCAGAAAAACAAGTAGCAGAAATAAAAGCACCACGATAACTGACAGCTGTGCCGCAATCCACGCCTTAGAGGGACATTTTGCACAGGACCGCAGTTGCTTATGATATCCTGAACTACAAACTGCACAAAGTGGTCCTTCGTACCCTTTTCCACATGGTGAGTCCAAGCCACCTTTGCAAGATTCCTCTTCCTGGCACCTGTAAGGTATTGGGATCGCATAAGGGTATTGCACGGAAGAGTTATCTAACCTGGGAGAAGGCGACAAAAGATTTTGTATGAAATTCTGGTAGTGATGCTTTAATGACTCGTTCCGCCACTGCCACCAAAATCCCGATTTTAAGGACGCATAGTCATCTTGGCATAACAGTCCTCCGTTGCCACATTTACGACATTCAGCGAATCGATGGGTTCGATAAAATCCTTCCAAACACGGACAAGCACGATGTCCAGCAAAAAAGTCACTTTCAGTTCCTGTGAAAATTTAGAAAGGTGTCAGTGCTGTTAATAATAGATTTTATCTTTTTTTTAAATTTCACCTGAAAGGTGCTATATTTGCCTTGTGACTGGTAGAGTGAGTGCGCTGTTAGAGGCATGTGTTTAATACGGATATGAAAAATACAATCTATTCACGCTTGGTTGTATGTAGGCACCAGTCCCGCATTTGAATTTTACGAGAGCCACTCTTGAGATGAGTTATGCACGGGCAAGCTTTGATGTCAGCTAGGTGCCAACAGTGTTGGTACTTACCTAAAGGGCACGCCTTGCAATCCAGAATTGATTTTCCAGGTGTCTTATCGAATGGAACGTAAGACCCATTTGGACACTTCTTGCAGCCTTTCGCAACGTAAGCAAGGGTATCAGAGTAAAATCCACCTGAAAAAGTCATTAGATGCAAGGCATGGAAGCCGAGGCAAAGTTAGGTAGGGAAAGAAAAGGTTAATCAGTTACAAATTGACAAATAACTGTATCAAAATAAGAAAATTACAAGCTTGAAACCCACCATACAATAAAATTAATATGATTGCCGCGGCATTCAGCGAAGGTTTCATAAAAAATTAAGCTTAAGATGACTGTCAGAACCATTCACCCATTGACAATGGCAAACTATTTTTCGTGTAAAATTCACGATCGATTGTTTTATTAATGGATTAAGAGTTTCATGGTATGCGATAAAATCTTCTCTTGTACTTTCGGAGGGTGGTTACTACGTACCAGTTCATTAAAAGTTTTTTTTAACTAGTTATGGTTTGAAAAAGTTAGTTTTGGTCTGATTGAATGTTTCCGTGTTTTCTGCGATGACTGAGGCTGCATCGACTCGAAAGTCTCCGTGCTTAACCTTTGAGAATTGATCTTCTTTACTTTTGGAGTTTATGTAACGTTTGCTAATGATGGTTTTTTAATTAAAGTGGCCAGGTAAGAGCTTCATCTATCAAAATATTACAACATTGACGACTAGGGCATACCTGGAGGGCATCGAAAACACTTCCCATATCCCGCTGAAAACGTTCCTAGTGGACACGGTCGAAATAGATTTTGGCGGGTAAAATGATCGACAGTGTGTGTAAATCCCATCCATAACATGGCACTTTGCAGGCGAGCGATGCTAAAATAACTAGAAGTAAACTTAAGAACTCCTCTGTGTGATTCAGTGGGATTCCTAGACATAACATTGAACAACGAAGTTAGCAATTCGGTGCTGAATGCGGTCAAGAAGTGCTTGTATATTAGGTAAGTACTACTTAATCGATTATTCATAATACAGTTAAACGACTTAATTATCAGGAGAGTATCAGGAATAAAAAATTTTGCCTATTAAACCTACTCATAGTATTTAAAAGTACGGCGACTTTTGCCTTCGGTTAATTGACCAAGCGCAAAATATCAACACAAAATCAGTTTAATTTTCCGCATTTGTTCTCTGGACACCATTAAACAAACTAGTTTCTGAGACCACCAACTGTTAGTTTCATGTTCTTGATCATTCAAAACATAATACTAACAGATATACTTCGAGCATAGTCTTGTTTTCATGGTAGTATGCTATATACCGAGGAGTTTTTCCCCACGAATAGCTGAAATAGAAACAAACAACGGTACTATTACTAGTCACGCCTGCTGTATTTCAGCCCCATCCATCCCTCGAAAAAAAGCGCGTTAAGGCTGAGTGCGTATGAAAATTTTGTTGTGACCATCAGTTTGGAGTGACTTATGCCCAAGGGAATGGAAACATTGGGGCTCATGTGTAAAGATATGCTGGCAGGAAAAGTTTTATGCTTCACTGCTAACTTTGCTGAAAAGTTTTCTCGTGGAGATGTCTGATCCAAAAAAAAATTATCCGTTACGATGGAACATTCACGTCTAGTCTGTCCCAATATAGAATTTCTTTGTTTAAGGAGCCGATTTACCATATGCAGATGCTATTGTAGAGCAAGCAAGTACTGAATATTCTCTATGACTACACCCCTGTGGTATTTCCACTTGTGAGTTATCATATCATATTGGTGACATCATAACTGATGCAGATGATGAGTATGGTCGCAATATGGAAAATGGTATTGATACCGTAGTTAGTGATGTCTTATCTGCGCCAAACAAGTTTTCAGAAGAGGAGCACAAGGTTCCTTGAGTTCATATCTGATGTCAGGTGAATTTTCAATAAATGTTTGTTGGATACTTTACAGCTTAAAACCGTCGACGTTGAGATTGGCAAAGGAGTCCGATTTAAATGTCTTCAAGTTCGTTCGCAAAAGAAATCTGTGAAAACACAGTTATTAGTTTAGAAAAAGAAGGATTTGTAAAATATTTTGAATGGGGATGACATCTCTGTCAGGTAAGGTAAACCAAGATTGCTATATCTAGCTGTATTAGATAGTATTTACGGTTTTTGATTTTGTATTCACGCCGTTATCACTTCAGCTAAAACGTTAATTGGTCGAAAGGTTGTAGGCATGAACTTGATCTATTAAGATCTATTAAGCTTTATTTCAACAACAACAACAACAACAACAAAAAAAAAATATTTACGTGATAATACGTTGAAATGGGAAGAATCCTCAAAAAGCGCCGCAGCACCATTCTAGGAGGAAAGTCCAACCTATTTATAGACCTACTTATATACACAGAAACATGTATCCATAAACAAACATGTATCTATAATGAATAAAGGCTGATAGTTTCGAAAGAAACTGTTTGGGGCTGCGTCGGTGGGAGTAACGAAATAATTTGGATATATCAACAAAGTTGAAATCGTAAATTGGCCACCGTAATGATTACAAAAGCTGACGTTTCGAGCGTTAGCCCTTCGTCGGAGCGAAGTAAATATTCGCTCCGACGAAAAATATTCGCTCCGACGAAGGGCTAACGCTCGAAACGTCAGCTTTTGTAATCATTACGGTGGCCAATTTACCATTTCAACTTTGTTGATATATCCAAATTATTATGTATCTATAATATTTAAACGATAATTTCAAAAATATTAAAAAAACCTGTAAAAAGAGTAGCTAAGCGAAAAACGCGTTAAAATTTGATTTAGTAAAAGAAAGTGAATGACTTCGTGGCACAATTATCGTAATTGTTATGCAGAAACCAAAATAGTTGCGTGATCGTTAACATGAAAAGTAAAATATAGGCTTCAAGTATTAATTTGAACATCTGGAGGTCGATAGTTTTGACGGAGGAGGGGTTTCTTTCTTTTCGGTGGGGAATACAACAACTTTTGATTGTGTATTAAGATAACTTACAATCGAGAGGTAGCAGAGCTGTAGAAATTAAATGCCTCCGACTCAATTGCCTGTATAGGATTATCGGATAGTGCTCTAAACGTCAAGAATAACAAAAAAATTGATAGCATATTCAGCGCCTTTACTATAATCTTCATCGTCATAATCAACATCGTTGTCGTCATCGAAGTAATCAATCCATCATCGTACCGCCTCGGCGAGGTTAAATGACAATGATGCATCTAACGAACGGGTTAGGGTTACCGTGCACCTTCAGGGGTGTCTCGCGTGCAAGCGATGTAGCGCGTCCGGTTTAAACTGTAGATATCTCAACCCCTATATAAAATTAAAGCTTATAGGACTGGCTATCAGACTATACCAAAAATTTTGAAAAAAAATTAATTGTCGAATTTTTCACGACTTCTAAATAGGAGCGCCCGAATCACCTTTTAAGAGCTACAAGTAAAAGGGAATTTGTTCTATTGCTCTCAAATTTTGACAGTAGTTAACATATAAACAACAAAAATTTGTCTCGGAATTTTTTATTTCTAAATCTTTTTTTTTTAAGAGCGATTTTTGTACGATCACTCCACATTTTTTTCAATCCTATTTCAAAAATGTTCTGTAACTTTTCACTGAAATTGAATATGGCAAATCGCAGACAAGKTTTTTTAGCGCTTTGGCTCCGGAAACGGAGGAACACATTAAATAAGCGAAAAACAAAATTCGCTTTGACATGTAACGTTCAAAAGGGGATTCCGGCGCTCGCATTTAGAAGTCGTGAAAATTCGACAATGAATTTTTTTTCAAAATTTTTGGTATAGTCTGATAGCTAGTCCTATAAGCTTTAATTTGATATGGGGTTTAGATATCTACAGTTTAAACCGGACGCGCTACATCGCTTGCACGCGAGACACTCCTTAAGGTGCGCGGTAACCTTAATGAAGGCAGCACAAAAAAACCATTTCATATTGGCTAAGGGAGACGTATTTTAAGATAACAGAGGTATATAAGTGACGAGAAATTTCTGTGAAGACCAATTACAGTGGAGCATAACTTGCTATCTTCGGCTCCATTATTTGTCCCTGCGCTTCGTCCCGGATCTGGGAATAACTTAACTAAACACGAGACAAAGAGGACCCCACCAATCTCTCACGGTAAATTGATTTTGAGGGAATTAGTGCAATGATGTAGACTTACATTATACTTATGTATTTCATGGCATAGAAGGCTCGTCGAGGAATACGCTGTAAATTGTTTCTATCGAGGAATCTAGCGTATCAACAAACGTATAGTAAATAAGTGACTGGAACAAGTTAAAAAAGTGTGGGAATAGGAAATTGTGCGTCTTATATGATGAAAGTAATAGAGTTCCGAGATTGACGCGTTTGACATAATTAAGAACAGAGAGAAAATATGGCGTAGACATGCATTAATTCTCATTCCAGTCAGCATCAAATTCTTTCTGAGAATGAGAGAATTTTTCCTCAAACAAAAAGATCAGATAATTTTTTCAGTTGCAACTGTTTTCGATCATAACCCCAATCCTTTAAAGCATTTCATTGTTATGACTCAGCAAGCGTTCTTTTATGTTATTTCAACTTGCACAGATCCAGCTCCGATATAAAAACGATATATCGGTGCGAAGAGAAGATAAGTTGAGTAAACTGGGCTTGTTTTAGAGTGCGTACAGATAATTTGATACGGCAAACTAAAGTGTATCGTATTTTTCTCACAGGTGCCACAGCCAGGTCTGAGTGGCAAAGAGTCCTTCTGGAAGAGAGGTTATGGCATTATCAGATAAATCCCTGTGGAAAAATGAAAAAAACTTAGTTAAATAGAAAGTAATGCTTCATATTTTATGAGTGTAAAACTGGATTTTATTTGCGTGTTTGCTTTGTCGTAAACCTGTCCAACTGGAATGCCATAATCGTATATTTTGCACATTACTTTCACCCTATTCTTTGAAGTGAAGTAATAGTGGGATGATTCAAACCCGTAATTAATGCATGCATTCAGTTTTAGCTTGTTGGGTCATTGGAATTGATTGGGTCATTTAAAGCAATTCAGTCAATCGAGCCGGTTAGGTCTAATTGCATCACTGAAAAAAAACAAAAAAACAAAAAACAAAAAACAAAAAACAAAAAACATAGGGCTATAAAAATAGTTTTTTGCAGGGTAAAGTTGGTCTGTGTCTCAGCACACATAGAACATCGTGTTGGGTGAGATAGGGCATAATAAATCATGAATATTACATACAAGTCCAATAGCCTGGTCTGCGTGACGAACAATCGTCGGGGAAGAGAGGTGAGGGCGTTTCTAGATAAATGCCTGTAAAGAATAAAGTAACTCGACGAAAACAAGTAAAACACGGAACAATTTGTAGGGTGGGATGAGGCAGAGTGGGATTTTAAGAGAGAACATAGATGATGACAGGCCCGGTTGGTAAATGTTATTTTGTGATGGATAAGTAATAACGTTTACAAATACCAAGTTGTTAAAGTAAAATCGAAGAAGTTGTACACCCGTCAAAGTGTCTATGAACACTATGATTTACGACAGTGTCATGCTTTATATGTCCTCTTGGTCTTAATTTCGGTAATTTCATTATATTGGAATAATCAATGCCATTATTGCATTTAATTTAGAAACTGAATTAAAAATTGGCTCAAAGAGAACATTTTATTGAGTAAAGTTGATCTGTTTCATAGTATGCAGAGAATATTATGCAGTGCACGCTAAGGTATATTAAATATCACGTACAGTTCATTCAGTCTGATCATCTTGGTGAACAGTCCTTCCGGAAGAGACGTGATACCGTTTGAGGATAAATACCTGAAGATAAATCAAGCAATCAAGCTATCAGAAAACACCAAATAGTATAGCGGTCATACATTTTATGCTTTCTCCCTTTGCAATAGTAGAAGAATAGGAAGCGTAATTACTTCCAGTTCCGACTTTATGGCACAAGAAGAGTTTCCTGTACACAATCGCCTTTTTTTTTCTTTTGTGGGCGAGGCAACTGAGACCACTACGTCCATTAAGTCATGACAACTGCTCACGGAAGTTATCTCGTGAAGAAGACTGGTGCATGGTTTTCGAGGGACATGACTACAGCGTGTAAAAAGATATTATCATTATAATTATTATGGCCATCAGTCAGTCTATTGAAAGTGTGATTTAGGATTTAAAAAATGAAAAAAGAACATCAATAGCAAAGCATCTAAGGTGAAAAATAGGAAGCTGAAAGAAAAAAAAAATGGCCTTTAAACGAAAGTAGAAAAAACAATATGCGACAAACTTAGGTTAATTGTAGAACTGCATTGATTTTAAGAGGTAAGTTAAATAAAATCTTATGTACAGGTAAGAGAGCTCAGTCTGCTTGTCAAACGATCCTTCTGGAAGAATGGTGATGGCGTTTGAAGATAAATCCCTGCGAAAAAATCGACTACCTAAGCAAAAGGAACACACTGCTCCACAATTAATATTTTGGGAGTTTATCATAGCATACTAAAGATTTATTCTATTATCATCACGAAATTACACGAGTATGATTCAGAAGTGAACGGGTTCGGTTGGCGAATAGTTTTTGTGTAGATGAGAAATAGCATTTGAAGACAGATAGCTGTTGAAGTAAGGTCTAGGCCAGCAAGAGTCAAAATATGTTTCCGATCTTATCAGGTCATTTGCACTGAGTCCTTTCTCCCCTAATTTTTTTTTTACACTTGAATGGTGTAATGAAATAATATGATGGAATACGAAAAACCGTCATTACACCCAGTTCCGCAAGGGGACATTTCACTTGAGCAGTACTTGATGTATGTCTCATAGAAGTGACAGAGCAGGATATGCTAAGGTATGTCAAATTTTTACGAACAGTCTGATCAGCCAGTTCAGCTTGGGAAAGATTCCCTCTGGAATAAAGGTAATAGCGTTTGAAGGTAAATATCTGTGGAGGAAATGTAATGTTTTATGATTTTGGAGATCTCGTATTACGACACATTGTTAATACGAAGTTGCCATTCTTATTATTGAAAATAAAGGTATAAAAAAAAAGGTATCAGAGAACGAAGAGGTGAGTTTCATATGTTCCGGAAGAGGCACAGAGACTAAAGGCTTTTTCAGTTGGCAAATTTTTTTCTTGCGTGGGAGAGATAATAGCTTATGCAGACAACTACATGTTTAAGATAACGTCTAGATTAGCGAGTTTAGCTTGTCACAGATGATAAAGTGAATCAGCAATCAAAACTAGATTGAGGCAGTAACAAAAAATTTCCTTGGCTAAAGCTGATAGGAGACATTGCATGTACAAAACATTAGATAGGACAAAATAATAAGGTACATAAAGTTCCACTCACAGATACCGCAGCATGGTCAGCTTGGTAAAACATCCTTCTGGAAGAAAGCTGATGGTGTTTAAAGATAGATCCCTGTGGAAACATCAACTCAGTGAGCAAGGATAACAAGTGATGCTTTATAATATGGGGATGCTAATATACATGTAGAAAAGAATATCGTTTGATCTTTCAACCATTTCAAAGGAAACGAATTGTCTAATAAATCGAAACGCTGGTAACAAATTATGATTCACTACAAGGCAAAGTATTTATTATATTTACAGGAAACCGAAAGTATACAATTATTAGATATAGTTCTAACACTAAGTAATGATAAAAATGAAATACTTGACATGGTAAAATTGGGGATCTTTAAAGTGTGCACCTATCATTAAGGCTGTTAAGTTTCGTAAACAGTATCAATGTAATTCCTTAGGAGGTAAGCGAGGTTTGGTTCATTACGTTCGGCCAGTTTTACAGTCTCTGGCTTAGCTGTTCGTATCTTACTTGTCGAGAACTTGCGCAACCAGTATTCTAAAATGTCATTATCTGTGCGTTCTCTCGACGTTATGCTGTAAAATTACATGATACGGAAGAATAAACACCATCATCTCATTAAGGTCCGATATAGTAATCAAATTATAGCATTAACAAACATTTTATTGAGTGGAGGTGGTAAGTATCTCCATTTTAATGAGTAAGCTGAGGTCTATCAAACTACACGTACAGGTATTTTATCAAGTTCAGCTTGGGAAAAATTCCCTCTGGCAGGGAGTGGATCATGTTAAAATGTAAATCCCTGTAAACAAAAAAAGTAGGGATTCAATGGGGTTTGAAGAAAAATCTGTGTTGAAGTAACAATTTAACGGCTAATGTAAGATTCAATATTTGGTTCTTTACGTTCGTCCACATTTATTCTGTTCACCGTCTACAGTACACGTTTCCAATTTGTTGTAAAGCTGCTTCTCAGGAACATCACAGGATGTTATGGTGGTATATATATTCTGAGCATTTTTTGACCCCACTCGATGAAGTGACATTATATCGGAGTGATAAATACCATCACTTCATCCATATCCGCAATTATGATCAAAGAATGCCATGGAGGGAACATTTGATTAGGTAAAGCGGGTATGCTTCATAAAATAAGTTAATGTATATCAAGTTTCACGCACAGTTTCTCCAGCCGGGTCAACTTAGCAAACAATCCTTCTGGAAGAGTGCTGATGATGTTTGAAGATATATCCCTATAGAGATTTTGCTTAACTTAGCAAAAGAACAAATAATGCCTTTATGGCCATTTGATGACAAGAAAAGACAAAAACAACAAAAAATGTGGTCATGTCAATATTCAAATGTTAAGCAATATTACAATATTGATATATCAGAAAAATCTAAAATTACTCAACATACTTGAGGGTAGCCTAGGCAAAGTAGAGCGCTAAGAATACACGCACAAAAAAATTAAAGAACACCATGACTAAACTGAGCAAAATTTTGCGTAGTGTAACGTGAAAAAGGATGGAGAAAGAGAGCCAGAAAATAAAGAGATTAATCGGAAAGTAATGGGGAAGGTTCATTAACTAATAGAGCCTAATTATGTAGTAAAATGCCCCAGCAAAACGGCTTAGAGGATATGATGTTACATAATAAATTCTTACATTTTATCCACTTCAGGAATCTTAGATAAATAATGGAAATAATTCATTGTATGAGCAGAACATTTTGCAGGAGAAGTTAAGGTATAGTAAATCTTACGTACAAGCTCTCCAGCAAGGCTAGCTTGGAAAATAATGTACTCGGAAGAGAGGCGATGCTGTTTGAAGATAAATGCCTGTGAAAATATCATATGTTTTAGCCATATCATATGTTTTAGAAGATAAAGCTTCGTGATTTTGTCAAAGGACACAAAAATAATAGCGAGGCGTTTAAGCGTGTTAGCATTCCAAAATTACCTAGTTTGGCCGATAAGTTTGCCGATGATATTAGACTTATTATAAAATAATTGTATCGAGAAAGCAAAGTAGATCAGAGCACCATGACTAAACTGTGCCATTTTGTCATACCTACAATAAGTGGCATTGAACAAATGATCAGTGTTTTGGCGTGGTCTCTAATCTTGTCGACAACGATAGTCGTCATCACAGAGATCAAAATGTTGTGGACTCACAAGGTAGGGCCTACCCCTCATCCCCAAAACGGTTTTGCAAGGAATGTGTGACAATTTTGCTAAAGCCAGGCAACATTGAAATGGAGGAGAAAGGGAGGTAAATGAATGTTAAAGAAAAAAAAATTAAAAAAGGGGGAAAACGTGCCAAGGCTTTTTCCACTCCTTAATAGCTTTAGTATCAAAACAAAACATTGATTCAGAGAAAATATTTGAGTTGTTTAAAATTGATATGATTGATAACACGCACAGAGTGTGAAGACTGGTTAGGTTGGCAAACACTGTCTCTGGTAGGAAGCTAATAGTGTTTGAAGACAAATCTCTGTTAAAGTAACATTCAACTTAGCAAGATTCAAATTTCCTTTTGTTTCGGCCCATTATAGAAAGTAAAAGGTTTGCAAACATGCATTATTAAAGTAATTTACGAAGTTTTTTCTTTACTCTGCATCTTATAAATACACAAAGATCGAGGACGCGCGAACGATAAGTCCCTCGACAGACCTGCTACAGGAATAGCTTATCCCAGCATTGATTTGGACGCAGTATTAGCAGAGTCGCTTATTAGTGAGATAAACGAAACATTTCGTTGGGTAAAAGTGCTATGTGTTGAATATACATTGGAAATTTTATAGGGTAAGCTAAAGTGTGTCATATCTTCCGTACAGATGCCGCAGCCTTGTCAGGTTAGCAAACAGTTCTCCTGGAAGAAAGGCGATAGCGTTTGAAGATAAATCCCTGGGGAAAAATCATCTTGTTACTCTAGGAAAACAAGTACAGCCGAAAGTAACAGGAAAAGTTTCAGCCCTTTTTCCGTTCCAAAGGTAAAAAATGGCTTAATGAGATGAAGAGCTATAAAATGAATAATAAAAGTAAACATAGCCTCCAATTTTATTCAAACGAAACGGAATAATTTAAAATACTCATGATCTGTCATTTCTTACATCTTCTTTTAAAGTTGAAACTGAACAATCAAGGTTCAAAGGGAATATTCAACTAGGTAAAATTGACATTTTTTTTATACATACAGAATTTGAAGGCTGGTTAGGTTAGAAAACACTGTCTCTGGTAGAGAGGCAAGAGCGTTTGAAGACAAATCTCTGTTAAAGTAACATTTGGGTTGGCAAGATTAAAGACTTGGTTCGTCGCGTCTGGCCATTTTTACTCCTTGTAGCATCTTTTATGTTTTTATTTCACTTGTCGTGAACCTATTCATATCCTACGGCTCATATTTATGCGATCTCTTCGCCTTATTTTGTGAAATGACATGATATTTGAGTAACAAAAACCATCATTATATGCGCTTCAAAATTAAGCGACACAAAACAAATAGAATTTCACTGAGTAAAGCTGGTAACTTTCATAGTAGACGCCGGAAATTTAGCTAGTAGGTATGTCAAATTGCACTTACAGGTTCTTCAACCCGATCACCTCAGCAAACAACCCATCTGGAAGAGATTTGATCGCGTTTGAGGATAAATCCCTATGGGAAATTAAGATCAAGAAGATTGGTTATAATAGGAGAATCTCAAACATTTAACAGAAAATATCAGCCTGAAGGGCATTTAGTAATTTTAGCTTTATCATTGTATGCACTTAAAAGTTAAGCCGGATTAGATGGCGACAGAAAGAAATAGCTGAGATACAATGAAATATATGAAGTTCATATATTTTGTACTGCGGTATTAGATACATATGATGCACGATCCTCGCAGTAGATAGCGCTATTTAAGCAATAGCGAAAATCAGACCTGAAAAAAATCAGGCCTGTACGGGATTCGAACCACTGACCTCTGCGATACTAGTGCAGCGCTCTACCAATTGAGCTAACAAGCCAACTGGGAGCAGGCCGTTAAGTTGATTCGTAATAAACCCGTGAAAGTGATAAATGAGATACAATGAAATATATGAGGTTCATATATTTGGCTTGTTAGCTCAATATTTGGTTTGTTAGCTCAATTGGTAGAGCGCTGCACTAGTATCGCAGAGGTCAGTGATTCGAATCCCGTACAGGCCTGATTTTTTTCAGGTCTGATTTTCGCTATTGCTTAAATAGCGCTATCTACTGCGAGGATCGTGCATCATATGTATCTAATACCGCAGTACAAAATATATGAACTTCATATATTTCATTGTATCTCATTTGTCACTTTCACGGGTTTATTACGAATCAACTTTACGGCCTGCTCCCAGTTGGCTTGTTAGCTCAATTGGTAGACCGCTGCACTAATATCGCAGAGGTCAGTGGCTCGAATCCCGTACAGGCCTGATTTTTTTCAGGTCTGATTTTCGCTATTGCTTAAATAGCGCTATCTACTGCGAGGATCGTGCATCATATGTAGAAAGAAATAGCATTTCAGTGATTAAAGCTGGTAAGTTTCATAGGAGACACCGGAAATTCAGTGAGTCTAGGTACGTCAAATTGCACTTACAGGTTCTTCAACCCGATCACCTCAGCAAACAACCCATCTGGAAGAGATTTGATCGCGTTTGAGGATAAATCCCTATGGGAAATTAAGATCACGAGGATTGGTTATAATAGGACAATCTTAAACATTAAACAGAAAATATCAGCCTGAAGGGCATGTAGTAATTTTAGCTTTCTTATGGTATCCATATTTCTGAAAGGAGGTCAGATAGGGTGATTTGTGCAATACTTCGCCCCAAAAATATCTGCAGGGACGGTGAACTATGATTTTCAGAAGCATGCATACCCACAATCTAAAACCCAACAACAGCAGAAAAAAAAAAACAACAACAAAACAAAACAGAGAACCAGAATTGCCGACTTATCAGAATTTAAGGAAGGTAACGTAAATATGTTGTGTGAGAAATCTCATAAAAAAACAATGTTACAGGTTTTCAGTTTTCCCTGGAAGGCATTCCTTAAGATATGAAGGTGTCGCGTTGGTACAGGAAAGCGTCCAGCCATAAAATCTCAATCCGAAAGAGCAGGTGGGTCTGCAATCTTTTTAAGTAAATTAATAAAAATTAAAGCAAGAAGGTTTTTTTTTAAAAGAAGTGAAGGTGTGAAAGCAGTGGCAAAATGTGCGCACGTCCAAAAAATTAAATTCCCTACGATTTTGTTACTTAAGCCGCCTTAGTGGAAAGTTAAAATCTACTTATGTCATGGTCTTTGCACCCTTGGAAAATATTTATCCATCCTGGTATTGTTTGGCATTAAGTTTGGCATTTTGTTTTGGCATTAAGTTTGGCATTTTTAATTTTTTTACTAATCTTCCTGAAATTGAAAAGAATGTATCTTTAAGTGATTCTGCTTGCGTGTAAAACTGAACTTTGATGAACTGAAAGTTCGCGCTAAAAGCGCCTATGACAAGTTTCCTAAGAATCCAAGACTGGTTGTGCTACTTCCCTTGACAACACCAGATTTACTCCTACACTTGAATAAATCGGATCAATATCCTTAAAAAGATGTTGAATTTCCCTTGACGGTTTATTTCAAAATAGAGAGATTATCAGCGGCCGTTAGCCAGAGACTTACCAAGAACAGTGAAGACTGTAAAGTCAGATCCATACTTGCTGGTCGCCATACAAGAGTAGTTTCCTTCCTTAAAGAACTTAACAGATGCTGTGTTTGTCGTGTTTACCAAAACGATCGAGTCGTTTAGAATCACTGTGTATATGGGAGGGCTTCCCGTTACTGAACATATCACCTCGTTGCCTGGAAAGGCTCGCACAAGAGCTGGCATCGCTATGATCGGAGGACCTTCAAGAAATGTGTAATAGAGTAACTTTAGCTGTGGTAATGCAGCTTCCTGTTTTACTCAAGGTAAGTCACATGGGGACGTGAAGCGACTGGGTTTTTACCTAATAAGTCAAATGTATTTCTTAAGGCGCCAATTTGGGTAAAATTCGCATCTGAAATGCTCATTTTTCTATGAAGCAGATTCTTAGTGTCACAAGTTAACGGTACCGTTATCCTTGTGAACTAAACAACCCTGCATATCATACCATGTGCAATTGAGCCCGTTTTTTTAATCTCGATGTATACGCGAACAAAATAGCTGTTATTGGGAAAAAGTTTCGAGTTACGAGTTTAATAATTTTTTTATCAGGACTATGAAAGATAAATACTTAGTTTGCGCACTTGGTAATACAGCAGTAAACAGCAGGGAAAATCCTCTTGTCTGACCATAAAAGTCTGAATGGAAAGTTATCACAGCGTAGTCTCCTGATACTTCAACTGTTCTACCAGTCTGTATTCCACAGTATTTACCAAATGTGAAGTTATTCTGATTGGAAATTTCAACATAGTCATCCCTGCAAAATAGAGACACATTCTTGGAGTATCTCTCTCCAATAGCCTCTACAGCTTTCCTTCTGAATCAATACAACAAAACATATAATTTAACATAACCGTATGTTTTTTTTGTAATCATCTCGTGATCGCAACAATGAATGCTGAAATCCGGTTTGATAGCTGTGGGCCATGGTAAGAAAAACCCTTACAAGAGACATTTGGAGTTAATGTCTTCATCCTGGTCATCAACATCATAAACATAGTTAGCGCCATAAGAATCATCATCATCAGAACAATCACCGTTAGCATGATCAATATCGTTACCATTATCGTCGTTGCCGTTATCGTTGTCGCCCTTGTTATAGTTGTCGTTGTCGTAGTCAGTGTCATCTAACGATGTTTTTATCTTTGTTGATGCCACCGGCTATCGTCGTTTTCGTTTTGGTATTCGTTGTTGTTTCCGATATGAAGAATCACTGTCACTGTCATTGTAGTCCTAATTGATGTAGTTTTTTCAAGCTGAAAAAATAGAGTTGGACGAAGGCTACAAAATATTTGTCGGGCGATGTAGAAAAACGCTGAAAGATTTTTTTTTATATATCTTAGTGTTGTTTTAAATTTTGGAGTTTACGACGATACAATGAGGTGGTAATAAAGAATAAAGAAACTTCTCTCTAAAGGTAAATTACAGAGGCATAGTAACGCATTTTTTTGCAACCCCTGAGAAAGGCACAAATACACAAGTACCGTGGAGGAACTCTAACGACTCACATTTAATACCTGCATAAGGACGCTTCCTCCAGTGCAAAATCTTCGAAATAAATTTTCATAGTCATGCCGTAAGGAATGTTAACCTGATATAAACAATCCATATTCCTTGGGTACGAATTTGGATATTCAGGACTCTGTAATGAGCTGTTTCTCAAGGACCCACAACCTGTAGGAACCACAGTTATTGCCTTAAAATTACTCTCAAAATTACTCTCAAAATGCAACTTAAAAGATCTAAAGCAAAAAATAGAAAGAGCAAACTAGAAAAAAAGAAGACTAATGTAAACATCAGTTATGAAAAACAGATATTCCGTTATGTAAAGTGTGAAATTGGTTCGGAAGCTGCATAATTTCAAAACTCTACAAGGTTTACCGTTATTCCTTCTTAAAATATTTGATTTTACAGTTAGTGTTTCTTAGTGAAAATCGTATTGATATCTCTCTATTATCCACTTCTGCACTTGGTGTTCCATAGTAGTATCTGTTACCTGGATCAATATAAACTGAATGATTGTTGTTATTAGTTGAAGACCCACCTGGAATTATCACTCTAACCTTCCACACATCAGTCCCAAACTTGCTGGTGGCCACACAGGAGTAGTTCCCTTCTTCACGGAATCGAACAGTGGCTGAGGTTGTAATATTAATCAATACTGTAGATTCCTTCAATATTGCTGTGTATATAGGAGGACTTCCTGTCGCTGAACACGTCATTTCTTCGCTCACAAAGGCACGCTCAACAGCTGGCATCGATATGATTGGAGGACCTTTTTATGAAAAGAAATGACAGCCATATAATGTGGAGAATTAAACCTGGGGTATGCTGTTGAAGATAAAGACCTTTCCACAAAGTGGTAAGTCCAAGGAGGCGAGAATATTCGGAAAGTACGCAGGGACAGGCAAAAAAGGGTCACGTTACATTTGTGTTTTCACACGACTATCCAAACACCTACCGACCCATGAGAGCGTGCGTATTTTTTTCATAATTTTATAAATACACTTAGCTGCTTGTTATTTCATGTGCCAGAAATAAACAAGGAAGTACATTTTAACTGCCAAAATACATGAGTTTTTAACTAGATCCTTCTTTTAGCAAGTAAAGTAACCTATTTACCACACCAATCAAAAGTCTTACTCAATCTTTGACTTTAAAAGACTCTGAGTGAATCTCGAATACCCGACTGATTACAACTGACCGGAATACTCGTTGATTACTCTCATGAGCTTGAAATACAGGGCAGCCAGCCTCATCTACGGTTTATTAGTGGCATAGACACACCCCTAAGTTCACGTAGTCGTATGAACGAGTTATAATGGATATTGTTGTCATCAGGACTTCGAAAGATAAATATCAATCGTACATACTTGGTGAAATGGCAGTGAAGAGCAAGGAAAATCCCCTTTCCTGATCAGCTGAGTCTGAATGGAATTTTATGACGGCGTAGTCTCCAGTTATTTCAACTGTTTTTCCAGTCTGCTTTCCACAGTATTTGCCAAATTTGAAGTTATTCTCGTTGGAAATTTCTACATAGTCGTACCTGTAATGTAGAGACAGTTTAAAGTATTGACATTCTTGGAGTAATCTTACAGTTTTTTTGTGACTAACTTTAAAAATAAATAAAGTTCTCTCTAAAGATAAATAACAGAGGTATAGTTAAGCATAATTTTTTCATCCTTTGACCATCATTTTGAAGCGGAGAATTGTTAAAGGAAGTCGCTCAGTGTGCGTGAGGTTTCATAACTTGGAAAAGCTGATAGCGCATGCCGAAGAAATCTGGTTGTGACCCACACTTTTACTACTTTTACTACTTTAAGCTTGGGCGATCAGCTTGTATGGCGGTTAAAACTCTTGGAGCGATGAATGAATGCTGTGGTGAAACATGATTATGTGAAGTAGCCTACAGTAAAAGGAACAGGAGCTCTTTTACTGCGTTTACATACCAACATAAATCGCCCTCCAGCTCAAAATCATGGAAATGAATCCACATAGCCATGCCATGAGGAATGGTGATCTGCCATACACAATCCAGATTGCTCTGATACCCATTTGGATATCCTGGGCTTTGCAGAGAGTTATTTTTTAAGGAACCACAATCTACGTATATTAAGAAAAGAGTGATGAAAAATAAAAACTGATGACGCTTTCTAAATATGAAGAGGCTGCTCACACAAAGAAGAAGATAAATGTAAACAAAAGCGATCAGCAACTGTTCCTGTGCTTTGTACTACAGCCACACTGGACATGGAATAATCAGGTTTTAACTGAGATTATGTGGAATTTTATAATTGCTCGTGGTGACATCGAATGATATACAACAAGAGAAATATGATACAACCGGGAAAAAACTCAGCAGCAGAACATCAAAATCTTCAGTACTGGACACTTGGCTTTTGTTAAATGACATAAAACCGAGAATGGTTTTGTAACTCAGCTGTAGAAACACATGGCTTACGTTTCCTGGAGAAGTTACCGCAAACTTCGAAATCCTTTTTTTTTTAATTTGAATGCGATAAGGGTTTGGATGCGATAAGGGTTTGGATGCGATAAGGGTTTGGACATGAAATAGGTACAACACTTGTCAAGACGTTTGCTGCAGTTTTTTAAACACCAATTTTAATTAAATTATTTTCTTCCAGGGCGGTCTTATATCTAAAACGAAGTACCAAATGAGGGGTTTTCTTTATCTGTTTGAAACCTACCAAAAAGTATCACAGAGAACATCTGCACATCAGTTCCATACTTGCTAGTAGCAACACAGGTGTAGTTTCCATCCTTGTGGAGTTGAATAGTTGCCATGCTCGTTGTGTTTACCAACACTGTTGAGTTTTTCAGTATCGTTGTATATATAGGAAAGCTTCCTGTCACTGAACAAGTCACCTTTTCGCCTGCAAAGACTCGCACAACATCTGGCACCGATATGTCTGGTGGACCTTGAATGGAAATAAATTAGAGTCATTAACTAACGTGGCTTGTTGAACAAGACGAGTCTAGATATGAGGTACATGATGCGGTAGGAGCGGGCCTAGAGTGCTACAATGAAGTTATTAATGGTCCTGTCACAGAAGGAAACTTACAAAGTTTACAATTCATCATTAACATTGAAAATCTCTTGAATTAAGTACGGCTTCTTATTCGTGTTTCATCTTGATCTTCATCTTCTTATTCGTGTTTCATCCTCAAAAACCATCATTATTTGAATTTATTTAGTTTAAGTTTATTTGTTGCTCGCAGATATTAGCATTTGCATGCTACCTTGAAATTCGAGGATAAATAAAGTTGTTATTATTATTATTATTATTATTGATAAAGCCTCTTGAGTTAATGCGTTCTTTAGAGTAGTTTTTCGTTCAGAACTAGAACATAGAAGTACTTATTATACCCACTTATACCCACTTATTATACCCACTTATTTTACCCACTTAAGTACTTATTATACTTCTTATACCCACTTGGCAAAACGCTAGTGAACAATAAGGAGAATCCTCTTTTCTGAACGTTTGAGTCTGAATGAAATCTTATCACGGCGTAGTCTCCAGTTACTTCAATTGTTGTCCCACTATCCTCTCCACAGTATTTACCAAATCTGAAGTTGTCCTGACTGGAAATTTCTACATAGTCATAACTGTGAAACAGAAACATGTCGGGTATTGTAGTTCGTGAAGTAATTCTATCAGCATCTGCATCAACTTCAGCAAAAAAATATATCCTAAAGTGCTGCGTTATACTTGACATGATTTTTTGCTTAAGTAAACTCAAGAACAGCAGCCTGGTCAATAGAATTAGGATCCGATTGGGAAGATATGTATTGTTCAGTAGTCCGGTTTGTTCTCTAGACCCCTTGTAAGGTTTGGTTCGAGGTGTGAGTGACAGTCGTAAAGGTAATTATAATATGTGTGACATCGTTTTGTGTGCGGTAGAGAGACGGAGGAAGAGGCAATAACAATTTAGGGAGATAGAGATGATGAAGGCGGATTTAAGAATGTTGGCTAAGTCCATCAAGATGAAGAAGGCTGGATATGGTGTGAGAAAAATAGAGACGGAGGAAGAGGCAATAACAATTTAGGGAGATAGAGATGATGAAGGCGGATTTAAGAATGTTGGCTAAGTCCATCAAGATGAAGAAGGCTGGATATGGTGTGAGAAAAATAGAGACGGAGGAAGAGGCAATAACAATTTAGGGAGATAGAGATGATGAAGGCGGATTTAAGAATGTTGGCTAAGTCCATCAAGATGAAGAAGGCTGGATATGGTGTGACAAAAATAATCGAGTGAGGTATTCTCAATTAAAGTAACATCAGCCATGCCAATTCATTAGACGAATTAAAGCACAAACATTACATACCTGCAAGCAGAATCTTCCTGCAACTCAAAATCATCGAAAGATATCTTCATAGCCATTCCTTGTGTAATGTTAACTTGATATACACAATCCATATATCTTGGGTAACTATTTGGGTATCCAGGGCTTTGCAGTGAGTTATTTCGCAAAGAACCACAACCTATATGAACTAAAAGAAAATCATCATACCGTAATGATTCGATTTAGCGCCCCCGTTCCAACAAGCACACCCTTTCTAATACGTGTTCTCCTCAAATATGTTTCTATTAAAAAAACCGCTACTATTCAGTAAGCACACTTATTCCAATGAGCACTCCTATTCCATAAAGCGCCCCTGTTTTGTTTCACTGATGGCACTGCTAGAGTACATTTACATTGAGTTTAAAAATGGTACATCTTCCTTTAATTGCTCATTTAAAGCCGCATTGATTAAACAGTGTTCTTCGTCTCAGTCTCTCAACCATGATGTTCACGTGAATTCACAATTCCCTCAAACGAATGATTCTCGGATTAAAATTTGCGACGGTTGCTTTGCTGGTCATTTCAGGCAGGAAGGATCCGGGGACAACAAGTTGTTTCGCGCATTCTGCTGTTTCTCAATTTTTTTTTGGCAGACACTGCGATGATGACGATCAAGATATGTTTATATCATCAACATTAGAGAGCATAAAAGATAAATGTTTTCGTGAACTGTTATCAATTGGGAGCAGGCTTTGTGGCAAGATTTAAGCAGCTGACTCGCGGGCTTCAATTTTTCGGAGGCAGAGGCGGTGGCTAGCCCCCTCTACACTTGGTGTGGTTACGACGCCTCACCTTCGGTTACAATTTAACGCCTTTTGAACATTGTTTTCCGCTTTCGGTTGTTTCGTGCATATGTTATTTTATTAGGTTCGCCAGTCATTTTTGGTTTCGTCACATTTCATATTTACGTGTTCATTTTTTATGCTTTGTTCCTATTGTTTGGTTTAGCTTCTTCTACCGTAGTTTTCTTGTCGCCGTTGTCATTATGTTTTAGTCGTTGCAGTCGCCACATAATCTTGTAAGTTTCGTTATTTTGTCCGTCATTTTGCCTGTTTTATTTGTATTTCGTCTTGCTTTCCTGTTCTGTATGTTTAACTTGTTTATGTACATTGGCTTTTAACGAGTCGCTAGTAAAAGTGCGAATATCTTGGTTTGTGGATTTCGACTACACTTGGTACCCATGTTTACTGCGTGTTGCGAGGCTGAAGATCTCCGGAAGGAATAGCTGGCTAGTGACATTGCGTAAGCGGCCTACTATCTCAGAACATAACAACTGCCTTGAAGTCACAGGAAGCAATATTGAAGAGGGTAAAGCTCATGTTCTTGTTAACGTTTACACATACATGAATGGCCGGCTTTGCCTTCAAAATAAGGTGGATAGAAAGCGATGTAAGTGTTTTTCGTGTATAAATTAGGCTTTTTATCCTCCATGGGGCCTCTACAAAAGATGTACTATCTATGGTACCTGATATAGCTGTGGTAATGTCGGGATCCAAAGGTGTTGTGACACCTGTAGGATCTAAAGTAAAGGAAGTGTTTATAGATAGTTTAGCTTTTAGATTCATTGCAAGAGAAAATCAGACAACGTAAAAATCATTCTCCATACGTTTAAAAATGTTTTCGGTGTCAGTTGCTGCCCTGAAAGGTAGTAATGACTAGTCTTATATTCATCCCATGGATATTTTAATACATGAGTTGGCTTGATGTGACCTACGATCTTCTTTGTTTTCTTCAGCGCTTTTTATGATACGATTATTACGCAGGTTAATTTGTCTCTTTCCATTTTCTTTACGTCACCTTGGCAAGAAGGGGCAGTTTTGTTCTTAAAGCTCTTTAATTTACACTACATTTAGCCCAATGGTACGTGCAGGTTAACGCGCGGAACGAATTTTCTAGAATCATGGGGAAAAAAGTAGCCGACGCTTAAAGTCCGTGAGGATCTTATGTTCCAAAGTTCATATTATCCCTTTCATTTTTTTGGGGGGGCATTTCCCTTTATCTCATCTTAGAGGAAACGACATAAAGAAAAATGTTTTGAGATGCGATTTTTGAGCGTCGCTTCTTTTTTCTTAGCTCGTACCTAATGCTCTTTTGTTATACTCTCCAGTTCTGCTAGATAGACAGATGCTTACGGGAAAATGGTGGAAATTTTTTTTGGCTCAATGGGTTGTGACATTTCAAGTTTAAAAGGATCTTTCAGCGTTTCTTTCGCGTTGAGCCTTCCCTAATATCTTATAGCTTCATCATTTTTCTTCTGTTTACAAATATCGAAACAGTAACTTAGAAAATCCGAGGCATACCATCTGTAAATGAGGAACCAGAGTAATAAGTCCAGGTAAACACGCAAATGAAGAGGAGCGATGTGGGCGACAGAAGAAACATGTTCTTCACCGCAAACGTCTGAACTGCGGACAGAAAGATAAATTCATGTAAGATAATTGCTTAGATCCGCTGAATTTCCTAAATGAACTCGTCCCACAGACGGCTGCAAGAAAGAAAGAGAGAGAGAAAAAAAGAAATAACTGAAACTAATTGATGGAAGGAGCAAAGGATTCACGAATGGATCGCTCGAAGGATAGATGTGTAGATAAAAAGGATAGATCAATGAAAGAATGGATAGAAGGATGAACTATTTATCTATTTATACATATATTTTGGGATTTTGTTACGGTATACAGTTGAAGTAAAAAGTGGGCCTTCCCTTTTTTAATGCTCGTCGCATTGCTTCTTTGCAATTGGTTAGGCCATTTATATTAACATATTTAGTATTCTTATCTCTTGGTTTTTAGAGTTTGTTCCTTGTATTTTTTTCATTGCTTTCTTTATAATTAGGTTTTTTGTTTATTAGCACCAGTTCATTAGTCGTTATCTGTAATTACGTAATCATTAGCACTTCGATCGTATTTAATGCTCTTTTTTTATTTCAAAAGTTGTAAATAACTGAAGAAGGTCTCTGACCGAAACGTTTTTTATTAAAATTTTTGATATTTTTTACGTCAGAAGTTGTCCAACCTCGCAATTTTTTAAACTATCTACGTTGGTGTTGGCTGTGAGGTTTGGACTGCGAATCTTTATTGATCATCCTGGCGTGGTGCACCTTTGTTGGCCTGAGAGTTTCATCAACGACTTG